CCCGCCCTCTGACCGGGCGCCGCGCGCCCCTCTCCGCCCCGCAGGTACCGGCTGCCTGGTCCACGCCGTGGAGATGGCCGCCCAGCGCCAGGCCGACATCATCGGGAAGCCCAGCCGCTTCATCTTCGACTGCGTGTCCCAGGAGTACGGCATCAACCCCGAGCGCACCGTCATGGTGGGGGACCGCCTGGACACCGACATCCTGCTGGGTGTCACCTGCGGCCTGAAGACCATCCTCACCCTCACCGGAGTCACCACGCTGGGGGACGTGAAGAGCAACCAGGAAAGTGACTCGGTGGCCCGCAAGAAAATGGTCCCCGACTTCTATGTCGACAGCATAGCCGATCTTCTGCCCGCCCTCCAGGATTAAAGATTTAGTGTCTTTAATCTCCAGAATAAAGAGCATTGAAAATCGGTTGCCCAGGTGGCTAGTGGGCCTAGGCTGGCCCGCCCCGCTTCTCGCCGGTGCTGGCCCTCGCAGAGGCCCCACTGGTAGCCTTGTAAGTAAACGTTTTGGGGGTGAGTTTGTACCCAGACGCTGTATTTGGAGATGCACTTTTGAGCTTGTGGGCGCTGCGGGGACCCTGGCGCCCTTCAGGAGGGCGGGCTCGGCGTCTGCCCGGACTCAGGTAACCTCGGCGCCCGCTCGTGGGTGTGAGGCGGGCCGGGGGGTCGCTGCTTTTATTGAACGACTCATTCAGGGATCGACCCCCTTGCAGGGCCAAGGGGAGCAGCGGCTGGTCACTCGGACTGTTGAAGAACCGTGTCCAGACGCGCTCCTGGCCCAGGAGCCGGCCGAGCTTCCTCCAGAGCCACTCTGTGCCGCTGTCAGTCACGGTCCAGGTGCCCGGCGGGGCCGCGCCCGAGGTCTGCCAGCCGCGCGCGGCGCTGGCACCGGGACATTTCACTAGACTTTGAACGGGCGTCAAGTGGCGGAGCCGAGTGCCACGTGTGGACTGGCCGCTGTGCAGCCCCTGCCCCAGCCCCGGCGCTGCCTGTCCCGCCCAGGGTGCCTTCTGGGGTGCGGGAGGGGCCCCAGAGGACAGGGAGCTCACACAAAGCCTGCGGCCTCTGTCCTCCCGACCCTGGCCCGCGATCTTGGCCTGGTGGCCCTTCTCACTGTTGGCCAGGACTGGCAGGCTGCACCGCGTGCCCAGGGGCCCGGCCTTGCCAGCAGCCCGGTGCCAACAGGCCCCTGCCCTTGCGGGCGAGCCACCCAGCACCCCTCCCTGCAGCCTGGCCGCAGGGAGCCAGAGTTGGTGGCTCTGAGAGGTCAGCCCAAGGAGGGTCTGGGCACGGAGCAGGCGTCCCCCACTTAGGAGCTCGTGGTGGGTGCGGCCTGGGGTGGGCAGTGGCCTGGGAACCGGTGTCCCCCCCCCTTGCACTTTGTGAACCCGAACACCCATTAAACTGTTTGAACCCACACTGACTCGGCCTTCCTGCGCGGCTTCACGGCGCCCTCCGGAGCTGGACAGCCCTGGCAGGGGGGAGGGGGCCAGGCAGGCGCTCCCCATCTGCCCACCTGGGCGGGGACCTGGGGATGGGTGGGGGGAGGAGGCCGTGCTGTCATTTGTGGATGTCTTTATTGGGGTTTGCCCGGTGCCCAGCCAGGGAGCCTAGAGGGACCCGGGTGGAAACCCGCCTGCCCGGCACGGCTGCCCGCACAGCCCCGGGGAGGGCGGCGGCGGGGAGGGCGCTGTCCAGGGCCCACCTGCCACGCCGCGTCTGGCCCAGGGGAGGCTGGCCGGCGGGAGGGGCCGGGCGCTTGGCTCGCACCCTCGCTCCTGGAGCACAGTCGGCCATTGTCCCCGGGGCTGCGGCATGGAGCAGGGGAGCTGCCGGGTGGGGGCCCCAGGGCCCGTGGGGGTGAGTGCCTGGCACCCAGCGAGCTCGCTGGGGCAGAGGCCGGTGGGCGGCCACCTCCCCACCTCATCTCAAAACTTGCCCCCAGGCGAAGACAGAGCCCTGCCCTGGGGACTGGAGAACCCCCGGCCTGCTGCTGCTGCTGCTGCTGCTGCTGGCTGCCGCGGCGGCCGCGGCTGGAGGGCTGCTGGGCTCCGCTCGCCGCCCCGCCGAGGTGAGGCCCGCACACGCGCACGCACGGGCAGGGCAAGCAGGAGAGCCCCACCGCGGGTCCTCCGGGAGGGGACGGCAGGAGCGCGGCTACGCGTGGCTTCTCTGTCTGCCGCAGCCCCCGCTGCTCCGCCTGCCCCTCCCTAGCCCCAGGGGGCCCAGGTCCAGCCAAACAGCCCAGGTGGATGCGGCCCGGAACACGGCGACCCTCAGAGTGACCCCAGCCCAGGACAACCGCAGCTGGGCGGTGCTGCTGGACGGGCAGAGTGTGAGTGAGGGGGCCCGCCCCACGGTGCCCGCGGCCGCCCCTCACCAGCCTCCTCCCCCAGGGCCGCGTCTGCTACCGCCCGCCCAGGCACCAGGCCTGCTTCCTGCGCCCCATGGAGCGCCGGGACCGCGAGGCCCTGCGGCTGCTCGTGAACACGTCGAGGGTGAGCGGCCGCGCAGCGGCTCCCAGCCGCCGCACAAAGGGTCTTCTTGTGTGTGCGCGCCGGCCCCGGGGCTCTGGTTTCAGGAAACAGAAGCTCCATCTTCCCAGAGCGGGCCGGGCGGGTCTGGGGGTGGGTGGGGGTGGGGCCGGCTGTGGGCCAGCAGGCCAGGTCGGGCAGCCGCCGGCCAGGAGGAGGCCCAGCGCCTGCGCGGGCCCACAGGTGCCTTCCCTACAGGCCCAGACGCCCCCCAGCCCCAGCGAGGCCCCCCACCGTACCCAGGAGCTGCTGGCCGTGCTCGGGAGCCGCGAGGTGGACCCTGCCCTGGTGGGGGCTTCAGTGCGGCGCCTCTGCGTGAAGACCCCCATTTACTGGGCCCGTCGGGCAGATGGTGAGTCCGGGCTAGGGGTGTGGACAGGCCCTGGCCCCGCAGGTGTCCGGGATGTGGGGTTCACAGAGCCCCTCCCCAGGGCCCCGGGAGCAGCGGCTGATCTACCTGTGCATCGACATATGCTTCCCCAGCAGCGTCTGTGTGTCCGTCTGCTTTTATTACCTCCCAGACTGAGCCCGCCTGGCCCGCCCGCCACGGAGGGTGGCACCATGGGGCAAATAAACTGTTGCACCTGCCCTGGGTCTCTGTAGCCTCCAGACAGGTCGGCGGCGGGACGGGGAAGCGGCTGCGAGCGGCCACCAGTCCCGGGTCCCCGGTGCCTGAGGTCTGCAGGATTTGAGGAGCGTGCAGCAGGCTGGCCCAGGCAGGCACTTGAGCCCCGTTATACCCACATGAGGATTGGGGGGCTGAGGGGCCCTGGAGGGTGCCAAGCCAGGCGGTGGCACCACAGGGGCTCTGGGACCCCGGCAGCAGGGCGGGTCCAGCCAGCTGCTGCCTCCTGCCAGGCCGGCCCCGCGCCCCGACTCTCCTTGCCAGGACCAGTGGAGGGGCGCAGGCTAGCCCAGCACGCTGTCGTTGAAGGCCAGGCAGACCACGGCCTTCTGGTGGCCGCCGTACTCCCTCTTGATCTCCCCAGTCTCCACGCACCAGAGCCGGGCCAGGTTGTCGGAGGAGGCTGCAGGGAGGAGGCGTGGGCGGCGGCTCAGCCGGACCCCAGGCGCGGCCCGGGGTGTCGGGCGCAGCAGGGTGCAGGGGCGGGCGGGCGGGGCACACCTGTGACGATGTACTGAGAGTCCCCGGAGAAGGCGCAGCCCCACATCCAGCCCCGGGAAGACTCCCCGGGGCTGCTGCTCTTGATGCTCAGCTCCGTCATCAGGGAGAAGTTGGACGTCCTCCAGATCTTGCAGGTCTGGTCCGCAGAGCAGGTGGCCAGGAGCCTGGGGGCGGGGCCGGCAGTAGCCACTCCCACCCGGACGTGCCTCGGCCGGCCCCGCCCCCGCCAGCCAGGCCCCTCCTCCCCTCGGCCAGCCCCCCACCCTCAACCCGCACGCACGTGGAGTCGGGGCTGAAGCGGCACTGCAGGGCGTAGCGGGTGTGCGCCGGGATCTTGGTCTTGGGGATGAGCTGGGTCACCTCGTCCCCGATGCCCCCCGTCAGATTCCAGACGTAGCAGTTCCCCTGGGGTGGGGGGCGTGGGAGGGTGGTCACGGCGGCCTCCTGGGCTGGGCCGCGACGGGGTGCAGCCCTCGGGAAGCAGCTGGGAGGCTTGGCCCAGCAAGGGCCACCTGCGGCAGGCCAAGAGGAGGACATGCCTGGCCTTCCTAGAGGGCACTGCTCCTGGGGGGCGGGGTGAGGGTGCCCGGCAAGGAGACAGGCACAGGCTGGGGGTGAGAGCTGAGCTTTGGCAGAGGTTAACAGCTGGACGGGAGAGCAAACAGCGGTGTCCGGGGCGCGGGCAGGAGCTGGGGCGTCTCAGGCCCACAGGGGAAGGACGGCGGCCAGGAAGGCGCGGGATGGTGGACAGGAGCCACGGGGAGACGAGCAGCAGACGGGAGAGGCTGCAGGGTGGCGGCCGGCGGTGGCCCGGGCGGGCGGGCAGTGCGGGGCAGCAGGAGGGCCACCCATGGCTGGCCAGAGGAGCCCAGCGGAAGCGCACGGAGGGAGGGGCCGAGGGCGGCGCTCACCGTGCTGTTGACGGCCGCCATGTAGCTGGCGTCAGGGTCGATGTGGGCAGAGGTGACGGACACCTCCGGCTCAGGGATCAGCTGCTCGTTGTGGTCAGTTTTCAAGTCCCAGATGTGGATGGCGCCGCTCTGGTCGCCCACAATGAGCTCGGCCTGGGCACGGGACAGGTGAGGGGCGGCCGGCCCTGGGGCCCCTGGGGCCCGGCCCGCCCGCCCGCGCCCTCACCTGGTTGGGGTGCAGGCACACGCAGTTGATGGGCGCGTTCACCTGGAAGATGCGCTGGCACTGCAGGTTCCGCGACCTGGCAGGCGGGGCACACACTGAGGGCGGCCGGGGGGAGCCGGCGCCCTGACCGGCTGCCGGTCCTGCTGATGGGCGGCCTCACGGGGAGGCCTGGGGGCCGCCGGAGCTGTGGAATGACTCAGCAAGGCCAGGGGCAGCCGGCGCAGGGGCTCTGGCGCAACTCACTCTCCAGGGCTCCCGGCCAGAGGGAGGCCGCGGCCCCGCCCCGCCCGCCCCCCTCAACCCCGCAGGGAAGCCCGCCTGGCCTCTGCTGGGGCGTGGCCCACACCGGCCTCACCTGAGGTCCCAGATGCGGGCGGTGCAGTCCTCCCCGCCCGTGTACATCCAGCGGCCGTCCTCATGGAAGCCGACAGACGCGATGTTCTTGTTGACCCCGTCGTAGCTGATGATGGGGTTGGGGTTGTTGGAGTTGAGGTCGTACATGCGGATGTGCTGGTAGCCTGGGGGCGGGGCAGAGCTCAAGGGGCTGGAGCCCAGGGCCCGGGACCCTCCCGCCACCCAGCCACCCCACGGGCGCAGGGGAGGGTACCTGCAGCAGCGATCATGCTGCGGTCAGGCGTGATCTCCAGCGCGTTCACCTGCTGGGTCTGTTAAGGAGGAGGACCGGGCCTGGGCCGCAGGGGCGGTCACCTGGCGCCCCAGGCCGCCCCCAGCCCACCAGCCTGCCCAGGGGGCCAGAGGATACAGAGTCCTGGTGCTGCACCGTGCGCGTGCAGATCCCGCTGTGAGCCTGCCAGAACCGCACCGTGTGGTCATAGCCGGCCGTGGCCAAGATGACCGGGTCACTGCCCACCGTGCCTGGGGACGTGTTCATGGTGGCTGCCCGAGGACTACGCCGGGCCCCGCGGGGCGGGAGTCAAAGGTTACAGCATCTGGAGGAGAGCCGTGCAGGGCCTGGGCAGTCCCCTGGACGGGCACTACGGGCAGCGGGTGGCGTCGCCCCGCCCTGGAAGGGGAGACGCGGCTCAGGGAGGAAAGGGCTCAGGGGGCGCCCCGCCGCGGCCGGCAGGGGGCGG